CTCGTTTTACATGGAAAATGTGCAATCTTCGTCGTGCGCAGATATATATATATATACGAAATGGGTGTCGTTTCTACGTGGAGTTTTATATAAACTACTATTTTCTTTAACCGCTACCGTTGAAAGTAATAATGACTTACTATTATTAAATGTTTTACGAAAAGTATAACTGTACGAAGCTCGGATTCTCATTCACTACTGTACAGTATTTATATATATATGGAGATGTTTGTGTGTGGCTAAATGGACACGGAATAAAACGCGCTGCGTAAAAAGTTTCGAGTCTTCTCTTCCACGTGCCAATACAAATTCACATTTCAAGGCCACCAGCGCGTTGGCTTTCTGAACGAACGCCTTGCAGCATACATCTGTTCGAGACTGAACCGTTTTGTTTTGAGTTCGTCGTCTAAATAACCAATCCCTGCTGAAATGTGTCCACGATGCCCATCATCACGCGGCCATGCCTCTATCCACCGTTTGGATGAAGGCCAATCCCCACCCTGTCCTCAACCTGCACGGCGGTTCCTCCGATGCCACACGATCCATCTCAGCCTCGCACGCGAACCGCGGTGGTCGTCCTCTCGGGGGCAATTCCTCCCCTGGCTCTCTTTTTTTTACGATCAGTGGAAACAAGATGCTCGGTGTATTCGGTACTTTGCTTCGTTCATCATTTCGTAAACTTTTTTTTTTTAACTGGGCTTTATGTAACCCCCTCTCTCGCTCGCTCGCTCTCTCGCTCGCTCGCTCTCGCTCGCTCGCTCTCTCGCTCTCTCTCTTTTTTTTACGATCAGTGGAAACAAGAAGATGCTCGGTGTATTCGGCACTTTGCTTCGTTCATCATTTCGTAATTTTTTTTCTTTTTTTTTAAACGGGGCTTTATGTAACCCTGGCTCTCTCGCTCTCTTGCTCACTCTCTCACTCGCTCTCTCTCTCGCTCGTTCTGTCGCTCATTCTCTCGCTCTCCTCCGTCGTCTAAAAGGAGGCCCTTCCGACGACGAAGCGTCTCGCCCAGGTCACGTCCTTCGACGGTCGGCGTACGAAGTCCGACGCGCTAATGGCATACCGTTGTTTATTCATTGGACGCAGACAAGACTTGTCTAGACATTGATATGCCATTGCTCGACATATTTCCACCCGTCGCAGACGGACGGACGGCCGACGGAGTAGGAATCCTTCGCGATGGCATGGACACAACCTCTCGCGAATACTTGGACTTGACACGCAATGCACAGCAGGGGGCTTAGAAGAGCGGTCGCCAAAAAGAAGGGGGGAAAAAAAAACAAATCCTACACGGTTCACAGGGAGGACATTTTAAAGCCAGCTCTCAGCGACGTCACACAGTGTTAAACTCGACATGTAAAATTCACTGCATGCCAGAACACGTCAGATCAAAAGTGCTTCTCTGCCTAAGAAACACTCGTAGGCAGCATATAAATAAAGGGGCCGTCTAGAGCTCACCTATAGTATAGGCAGACATTGGGTAGGTGCCAGTACCCACACTTTACCCTACCAGCTCCCACTCCAATACCCACACTTCACCCCAACAGCTCCCACTCCAGTACCCACACTTTATTCTACCAGCTCCCACTCGCGACCAGATTGACTTACTGGCGGGGAGGTGGGCTGGTCAGGATAGTGGGGGGGGGGAAGGATGAGAGGGGGAGAAAGGAGGAGGGAGGGGGGTAACGTGCCCATCGTTTCAACGAGCTCGCCAGGATATTTCTCCGGCAATTGCGAGCCCAGTGCGCCAGCCGTGACACCACGGCAACATCCCGCAGTAGCCAAATGAAGGCATTCAAAAGGGTTTCGCTTCTTGGTCGTGGTGCTGTTATATGTTTGGAATGGCCGCAGCGCCGGAAGGCCCGTGTGTTTCACCCGCACAGCCATTCACAACCAGAGGGCCCCCCTCTTGACGCGTGCCTAATCGTTCCCGTATGCTGCAAGTGCACACGATCGTCTGCAGACAAGCTCGCAGTGCTGCTCTTAAATCCTCGAGCCATTGGCCCAATAACAGGATTATGGGTAGAACCCAGAGTGACGAATGCTTACAGTGATTCTCTTTAAAAAAAAAATTGTACCTCTAGATCACAACCATGTACGATAGCAAGGTCATCATGACAGCTGCTTTGTGATAAAAAAAACACAAATGGCATTGAAAGAATATGGTTTTTGAACAAAAAGAATTACCTTGTATAAAAAAAACATGTGGAGTATAATGTTGAAAAGTGTGCATATACAAACTGAAAGTATTGCGTATATATTGGAATATACGTAAAGATTGCTGCCCACTGGACACTGTCAATGGTGCGCATTACCCCAGGGCGATACCTTCCAACTAACCCTGTTGGTTCTTGGGTCGCGAACGGGCTCACGTGTTAAGTGGTGCTGGGTGGGGGGGTGAACCCGGTCGTTGTGTCGTGACCCCCCCCAAACCCCCCTTTCTCTGCCCGGTTTCACGACGATGGCACCAGAGTTGAGACTCGTAACGCAGCTGTTTGGGAGACCAGCGTCACTTCTGCAGTTGGTCCCAGGAGCCAAAGCAAAAAGGTCGAAGGGTGATGTTACACCAACGTAAAAAACGGCAAATCCCAGTTTTACGCATAGCCTTTCCCGAACAATAGCATCCATAATACAGGTTTATTTTGGGGTTAGATCCCGTAAATATGTGTCGTTAAACCCACCACCACCCGACAAAAGTAAATTATTAAGGGTTGTCACGTAAACAGAACATGCCAATTCATTACTAGTCCAGCATACACCAAGCGAGTTATAATCACTGGCAAAACGTAGTACTCATACAGCACGAGGCCGAGTAGACCTGTGGATGACCCAGGACCGGCTCAGATAATCGTCACTGGTGTTGGCCGTGAGCGGGAATTGAACTCGGCTCGACGGGTTCGTAGCGCTAACCGCTGCACTACCGCTCTATCACTCCCCACACGGCACCTGCAAGGAAACATCATGCAGCAGAACTCATCGGGAATAGACCCCCATCGTCAGGCTTATCTACAGGAGCAGCAACGAATGGTGTCCGTCGTACGGATAACGGCGAAATGTGTCGCCCACCAAACCCGCGGCGCCCCATCGCAACGGCACGAAACCGCTCGATTTCTCGAAGCGGAGCAGGCGGCTCAATACGCGACCCCTCCCCCCAACCACACATGGAAGTTTTGAGCTGAAATGGTTTTCGATGGATTTAAATAGACGCATAAATACGCTGCGGCTCCCACAGGTGGCACGTGCGCTTCATTATCAGGTTACTTTGACACCCAATAATGTGTAGAGACGATCCAATTGAACGGCTGCATTGCAGCAGGGGACGTTCACACAGCTTGTTGTGGTCGGATGAGAAGCGGCCCGACAGACAACGGTTTATCTTGTTCGGATCTGAACGGGGATTCGTAATGGAAAAGGGCTGGATCTCGTTATAGTATCAAATCTGAAAGATAGAGTATGCAGATTGTACGCGGCCCGGTGGTTTACAAGCTAATAAACCAGGCAACCTGAACTCGTTAACCCGGCCACGGCTAATATCAGGAGTGAGTGACATCTGAATCGATATTTTGCTCCCCCTCCCGCCACTTCACTAAGCGCACTGATCAGAATGGTAACCAGTTGCTTGACCTAGGGAGGTCAAGCAACTGGTTGTTGGTTGAAAACCTCCCTCGGTCAAGCAACTGGTTGCTTGACCTAGGGAGGTTTTCAACCAACAGTCTACTGACAACGAGCTGTGATTTTTGTAATTAAAAACAATATTTTTCACATGAGCAGGACATGCTTGGAAATCGAGTAAAGCTGTCCAGTGTGTCGCTTTATGTAAACAACCACAGGTTTTAAAATATTGGTGCACATCCCGTGATATTCCATGTTCAGCTTATTAATCTTAAACATTACAGCACAGAAACGTATTATAATACTTATTCTGCACCACCTATTTTCTCGCGGTTTAATTGCTTGCAATTCAGTGTAATTTAACATAATGGCTAAAACAGTCACCGTGGCTCTACAACACAAACAACGTGTTTCCAAAACGAACCGAGCCTCCTCCACGATCATAGGGTCTGTGAGTAATCACGACTAAGAGGGCACATTTATTTGTTCTGTATTCTACCGCTACGTTTATGACCAAACGAGCCATAATTCACCCGAGCTCGACAGCTAAGCAGGCTGATGCCTGTGCGGTGTGTAGATGTGTGAGCGCAATGCATGCCAAGTTGTCATAGGCGGCTCCTGGTTCGCGGGGTTATGCGACGTGGTGATCAACAGGGGACAATTCAAGAATAAAAAATGTTGTACGGTAACTCTATCCTCTCCCGTCTATGCCCCCCCCATCTTGACCAATCTGTGTTAACCGGCGTGGTGAAGTATGGTCAAATAACCAGCACACACAAACGGCGCGGTGTTGGGAGGACTTCATCCAGCAGTGGATTGACATGTGTTACTCGACAGCCTTGACCTTTGAGGGTTCGGTGGAGAGCCACGCTTTACACACTTTAATATTGCAGATGATAGGGTGAATTGCCTTAGGGGGGAAAGTCTTTCATCAGCACGCCTTCTGAACCTGGCCAGCCGTGAAACGTTAAGGCGAATAAAAGTCAAAGTTTGCATTGTGCGTTTGACACTTTGAAACGGTTCCTGTATGGAGAAAAAAAAATTCCGCTTTAAAAAAAAAATCCGCATACCCTCCTGAAAACGATGCGTGTAATTTCCAACGCACGGCTTTGATTAAACCCAATCCGCGGGTAGAATGCAATGGGCAGGCGCACGTGCAACATCAAAGCAAAATGGGCCATTAACATATGAAGCACGTTAGGTCTTGCGCCGAGCCAAGTGTCTTAATGGAACGTAAAAAAAATAAGGTTTGGTTCTTGGCAATGTGTGACACTGCTTACGTGCCGCACAATAGCCTATTAGTGCCATATGACCGCGGTGGTTTGCATGAATACGGTGGTGGCTTCTGTTCCAAGCTGTTCGAAACGGGCATTAGCTTACAGGACACCGAGAGAGGCGAGCACAAGATGCCCAAACGGGCCATCACCACGAGCCTGCTGCCCCTTAACGCGAACGCGGCCTGCAGCGCGACCCGAGCTCTGCTCCTTCTGCCACTGCAGCTGCTCCTGCTGCTGCCGCACCTCGCCGTTGCTTCCCCCGCGGACGAGCACTTTGACTACTACCTGCAGGAGATCCGCAACAGGGAGCATTACTACGCGCCCGTGCGGGAGACAAGTGACAACTCCCTGCGAGGACGCGCGGCCTCCCGGGGCGCAATCAGCTCCGGCCAGGAGGATCTCATTACCGCGGCTGCCACATCCACGGGGATCCGAGACGGCGCCTCGCGTTGGCCCGCAGAGGCGCGGCAAAGCGCCGTGATCGGTGGTGCCAACGTGGCCAGAGAGCGGCACGATCTGTACACAATTAAAGCGGCGCGTCCTGCGGCAGAAAGTCCGGCCAGGCGGCGCGCGGGCGCCCTGGGAGTGGAGGTTGTGAAAGCCATCAAGAAGGGTAGGTGGAGGAGCGTGGCGTGCGGTGCGGATAAGCCATTTCAGTTGTTGTGCTCGTTTTGTTTAGATATTCGCAGCATCATCATCGTAAACAGCATTAGCTGCCGTGATCAATGGCTGGCTGCTACGTAGCACGATTTGGCTACGTACGGTGCGAAAGATAGTTTAACATACATGCATCAATCTCCTGCTGAGTGGATCTCTTCCCCAAGCCATTGCCACCACTTGCACGTCCCGCGATGCAACAATTCACCGTGCGTCTTTGGCAAAGTGTTACCACATCATAATGTGGCCGTGTGTGCTCAGGGGTTAGACGCTGCAGTTGAGAGCGTTTATAGAAAGTTAGCATTGTTTTAAAGTGCAAATGACAATTGTTTGTTCGTAGGGAAAGATGCGGCTAAAAGGCAAACGACTTCGAAACCTGCACCACCCACCTGTAAGTGATGCAAAACACACACACACGTGCAGCCCACACTCTCCATTGTATTTATAGTGAGAAGATATGACCCATTATATTCGTGCTCGTACTTACTTATTTATGAAAGCCGTGGTACGCCTTCACCAAAATCACTTAACATGACAATGAATCACAAGATTGTAATGGCTTGTACCGTCTTCAAAAATAGCCTGCCCGCCTTGTACGTGTCTCTATGCAAGCGTGACACGATATTTAATCTCTATTAAACATTATTTTTTTAATATATATATATACCCCTGCAAAAAAAAAACATTTTAACACCGAGTTATTTTTGTCCTGCTGCTTATCGTCAAATAAAGTACGTAGCGGGAAGAAAACATTATATTATAACTCCTACACTATATATATAATGTGTGTATATCTCCCATTGATCTCTCTCTCTCTTCTCTTCCGACTGAAGCGTGCCCGCCGCTCGGGATGGAGTCCATGCGGATTGATGATTTCCAGATCCACGCGTCAACCATCAGTCGTTACGGCCTGGGGGCTCACAGAGGCAGGCTCAATATCCAGGTGCGCCCTCTCGCACCACCGGCACTGGGCGCACACGTGCTCACGGTGGGGGGAGGGTGATGTGGCCACGATTTCAATGGGTGGGAATATTGCTGGTAGGAACCTCCTGGTTCCACCAGCCCACAGGGGATTATTGTGTCCGTCCGTCGTGCATCCAAAAATGGGAGGGGTGGGGCTGGGTGGAGAGGGTGGGGAGGGGCCGGGTGGGGAGGGAGGGGCTGGGTGGGGAGGGGAGGGTGGGGAGAGGATGGGTGGTGAGGGTGGGGCTGGTGGGGAGGGGCTGGATGGGGAGGGTGGGGAGGGGTTGGGTGGTAGAGGGTGGGGCTGGGTGGGGGGTGGGAGCGGTGGGAGGGGTGGGGCTGGGTGGGGAGGGGCTGGTCACCTCGTGGTGCCCTTATAAAACTCAACGTTTAACCTACTCACGCCGGCTTGTGCCCGCCCTCACAGTCGGGCATATTTGCGGAATACACCACGCCGCCGTTGACCCAATGTTCCTACCAGCTCCCTCCGCAGGAGGAATGTGTTCATCGCGAGCGAGTCCATGACTCCTCCGTGAGGATTGCCTCAAAGTATCATGCCCTAGCACTCTGGACTAGGTCGCGATTAACTAGTTGGATTTATACGTATGGCGTCTGAATATAACCGCGTTTAAATCTGGATTTGGACATTGACAGGGAGTCGACAGCACGGGTGGTTGGGGAAGGGAGTCCAGATTATGAGGCAGTGGAAGAGCGTGTGTATTGATATTGAGAATATATGCATGTGTTAGTGTTTAAATGTTATTCACGTGACGCAATGTATCAGTTGCGTAAGTCAACTTGCAGTGATCGTTTTTAAATATTAACATTGTACTTTTATTCCTATAAATGACACTTCAATGTAACGTATGGTGATGTTTTATGCAATGAGTGGCAAAATTGCACGGTTGAGGAATAAGGACTTGAATTTGATTGTAAGCTATCCATCTCACGTTATGGCGATGTGCCGTGCATGATGATGCACATAATAATCACGCTTCATGACGATGACGAAGAGAAATACAGCATCATTGGTGATTTTCTTGGGTCACGTCAGAAATGATATTGCTCATCAAAATGATTTAAATATTTGTATGCACCGTTAAGAATGACAACGGGGAGGGTGGGTGCAGTTAGCGCACTGCACTACGAACCCCGGCCCGCCTTGAGGAGTTCAATTCTTTGTCACGGCTAACATCAGTGGCGACTGACCGGCCCTGACAATACTCAACAAAGTCCTTGCCCCTCCCCACCAACAACCCACACTGATCGGTGTGGAGAACGTATGGGGAAGTATGATCAATAGCGACACCGCTGCGATGTGACAAGGAACTGTAAATTGTTGGTATGATCATTATTGTACTAATGACAAATAGATCATCATCATCATCATGCACATGACCATCATGATCATCCTCGTCGCTGGCGTCATCATGAACATCACCACCACAACCACCATCATCATGCATATCACATCATTATCATGCACACCATCATTTTAATCTTCGTCGCTAGCATCATCATCCACATCATCACCACCACCACGATGCGTATGACATCTTCATCATGCTCATCGTCGCCACCACCCCCAACATCATCAACATCCTCGTCGCTGAAACCATAATCACGCACATCACCATCATCCTCATCGCTGACATCATTATGCACATCGACACGAATAATCATCCTGGTCACGGGCATCATCATCATCATGATCCTCATCGCTGACATCATCATGCACATCGACACGAATGATCATCCTGGTCACGGGCATCATCATCATCATGCACATTATCATCATCATGATCCTCATCGCTGACATCATCATGCACATCGCCACGAATGATCATCCTGGTCACGGGCATCATCATCATGCACATCATCATCATCATGATCCTCATCGCTGACATCATCACGCACATCGCCACGAATGATCATCCTGGTCACGGGCATCATCATCATCATGCACATCATCATCATCATGATCCTCATCGCTGGCGTGCTGCTGCTGCTGATGCGCAGGCTGGCATGCTGGAGGATGATCAGTACGACGGGGCTTGGTGCGCGGGTCGCCACGACGCGCAGCAGTGGATGGAGGTGGACGCGCGTCGCATCACCAACTTCACTGGCATCATTACGCAGGGACGCAACTCCCAGCAGACGTGAGGACAGCACTGCCCGAGACACAGTACAGACAGTACACGCGAGACACAGTACAGGCAGTACACGCGAGACACAGTACAGGCAGTACACGCGAGACACAGTACAGACAGTACACGCGAGACAGAGTACAGGCAGTACACGCGAGACACAGTACAGGCAGTACACGCGAGACACAGTACAGACAGTACACGCGAGACACAGTACAGACAGTACACGCGAGACACAGTACAAACAGTACACGCGAGACACAGTACAGACAGTACACGCGAGACACAGTACAGACAGTACACACGAGACACAGTACAGGCAGTACACGCGAGACACAGTACAGACAGTACACGCGAGACACAGTACAGACAGTACACGCGAGACACAGTACAAACAGTACACGCGAGACACAGTACAGACAGTACACGCGAGACACAGTACAGACAGTACATGCGAGACACGGTCCATGCAGTACACGCCAACCAAACGAATCAATGTGTGAATTGAATCGTTACCCCTAAGCGTGCCAGGTCATCGAATATAATTACTGGTCATACGCCCATCATGCTCATTTTACACGCATTTTATACACACTTCAACGTTTTATTGATTCTTTCGGTAAAGTCACGTAGAATGGAAATAATAAAATAATAAAAATAAAACATAATAAAATAATTCTCACGACGTTTCGGCCACAACGCAAGCAGCCGTCCTCAGGTGTAGAACATGTCTGTCGAGAAGACATTCTACGTGACTTTACCGAAAGAACCAAGAAGATGAATCCCTGCAGTCACGAAAGCTTTAAATCGAAATTTAGACTTCAACGTTGTCTATACCTTAATGGTAACCTTGTAAATTCCATACATGAAGTGCATACTGCTCACGGCGCATTAAACACCCACGATCCGGCCAGCATCAGTGGCGAGTGACACCTGAACCTGTCCTGTCTCGTGTCTGCCACCCCCTTTTCACCAACCCAGATAGACGTGCGTGAAAAAGTATGGCAAAAAAAACCAGCCATAATATACATGACTTGACAGACACATGGGTGGGTGGTTGGGTGGAGAAGCCTTCACCCAGGAGCAGTTTCAAAGAGAGAGAGGGGAGGGGGGGTGCTCCCTGCATTACCATTCGTTATTTAATTGGCTTGTGTGTGTGCTATGCACTTGGCAGTGAAACGTATTTGGAATTTCACGGAATTCACTAAAACCTTCAGGATTAACCACGGGTATTTTTTGTCTCGTTTAATGAGCATATTATACCGGGGGAGAAAAAATAGCTGGTTAATCTTCTTTAGCTCATTTAAATGTATGCCATTAACAAATTACACGTCTATACATTATAACAATGCAATTATTTGTCAATACAATTCGGCAAGAGAGCCTCCCTCTGCCGTGACCGCATTCAGTCGTGAGGATGTTGCCATCTGTCACCACGTGGGACCGTGGCGATTGATACCAAGAAGGACGGGGGTGAGGGCATGACCGGTACAGAGATATCGCTCTGATCCACCGATCTTATCCGTGGCCGTGAATTTGACCCGGGTTCACATCTTCTGCTTTTAAATTGGTTCAACTTGGTTTCAATTTGTTTATATATATCAATCAGATGACCTATTACTTAAAAGTCACTTTATTGCTTTCACTCGCTGATTCACGAAACTATGCACGTGGCAAATCGTGCGTGTTGGCGATGGGGTGTACGTGCATTCGTGAAATCTATTCTCGTGAATTTCAACTAATGTGTATACATTTTCTGTTGTGTGACTTAAATTGTATTGATGTAATGCGATGTGCTTACTCGTGAAGACAATTTTATTGTGACGAGCTCGACATTCAATGAAGGGTTGATTGATTTTGGCTGCAACCCACACTGACCAGAAATGGTGAAGTATGGTCAGAACGACGTTCTACGCCCGACACCGGAGTTGGGAAGACGCTGTAAAGCAAATTAGATTGCTTTAACGCGTAGGCTTTCGCGACCAATATCCTCCACACTACAGGTTTGCTCTCCAACACACCGGTCAGTGCTGTACTCGTAACGAATTGGCATGTTCTATTTACGTGACAAACCTTACTAATTGGCGGGTTTAACGACACATTTATATATTTACGCGATCTAACCCCCACCCAAAAAAACTGTATTATGGGCAAATTAAATTGCTTGCAGCTGTATGCAGTGAAGCGATGTAACCACCACGTGGCGCTGCTGCCCTTGTGGATAACGTGGCCACTGGAGTTCATGAATCCTACCACGCCAATAAAACGGGAGCGCGTCCTAACGACGTTTGTTTTAGTAGCGCGTTAGGTTAATTTCTACGTCGTTAAAAATTGTAGGAGTCTATGTAAATCAATACCTCCTCAGAGTGCCATCCCACTGCTGTCAATGCTTCGCTTGCATTATTATTTTTTTTAAATCACCGTTACTGTTAACATAAATCGTATTTTCACTTTGCGTATAGTGGCACTTTGAACAGTGGTTATTGTATTAATCCCGTGGATATTTAAGGCCAGTTGACGATGCATATTTACAATGTGCTGTTTACATTCACATATGCACATTTCTTAAGGATTGTCACGTGGTGTGCATCGCATGCTTAACTGTATACACTATATATAATGTATGCGCTATGAAGAGGTCATATGACTGAAACGTCGCCTAATATAATTATTCCTTTTAAGGCCGTGTTGTTGACGAATGCATTTTGACACATGTATTCTACAGTGGCTTATATAGCGTATGGAGGCTACAGCTGACAACCCGCACTGACCATCGTGGTGGTGAAGTATGGTCAAACAACCCTCGTTAGGGGACAGGATGAAGGGCTGTGCATTGCTATTTTAGTAATCATCAATCGTTGTTGTGCAGTGTATGTATGTTATGCCAATTCTTCCCCCCCAATTATAATCAGGCACGCTTGGATCACGTCCTATAAAGTGATGTTCAGCAATGACAGTCACTCGTGGATCACATACCAGAACGGCACAGACGAAAGGGTAAGGGTATTGAACCTTTTTGACACCCACCGCATTAATGCAAAAAAGTGGCAGTCATTTAGACTTCGCTTTTGACACATTTCCAAACGGAACTATCATTGTATTGTCTCCGAATACACGGATTCACGCACGCTCCAACACTTGCTGCTGTTACATCAGAGAAGGTGGCGTGCTTGGAATTGCAGACGGAATGAGGCACGTGTACATCAGACAGCAGACACAAGTTAGAGACATCAATATTGAGTGTAAATCAGGGTGAGTGTTCCTGGGCAGGACACGTCGCTCCAAGCGTTGTTGGACAGTCGTTGAGGCGAACTGCGGAGTGGCAGACAAAGGAATAAACTTGCCCGAGAGGACATCGTGCAAAGAGATGGAGCGATAGAATCCACGCGTAGCGCATACGCAAGATAGATTGTTGCATCGTTAGACTGTGAAGAATGACAGTGGCTTGGAGATGCCTTCATCGAGCAATGGATACATGATGGCTGCTGATGATGATGATGATTATTATATCAGAAATAATATCAGGCACTGCATATGGTTCAACTGCTCTTGAATCCATGTTGGCAGGTATGAGATGCCTGGCATTGATATGCAAATGCGTTCAGTGAATAGAATAATTATACATTCAAATCATGCATGCATCACGGTTATTCCTGCACAACATCAACTGCCACATCACCTGCAATATCAACATGAATTTTAAAAAGATCCCTTTTCGTTCAATCGCCAGCAATCAGCATATCCATTTCACAACTTCACTCAAAAGTACATAACACGAATTTTAAACAACATATCCACTCTCCCATGTGCCTGAGTGCAATACTGTCCGTGCATTTGCTTCAGTAGCCAGTATTTATGTTTTTTTTATCTCTTAAAAAACAAACTTCAGCGCTGGCTCTTTATGTGTGCTCCATCATTATGCCGTATTTGCTTAGACTGGCTGAGACAAAATGACACAGTGTATGAAAATTTACATTCTCAAGAGGTTATATCTGCAAAATGGCAAATGCAAATCAGGCGCGTGTGCATGTTTTTTGTGGCAAATAGAAAAATAAAAAAAATCGCCATGCCTGCCACGACGCCGTGCTGTAAATTCCACTGCATAAATATTTCCATAACTTTTTCGTGAAACTCAAAAAAATACAGTTCAGTCGCTGGACAGTGCCAATCGCAGACCTTGAAGACCGACACGTCACATCTGTTCTAAAATAGTGTGCTGCCGCAATGAGAGCTCTGATTTATAAGGTCACACGCTGTTTCATAAATAACACCGCTAAAAATGTTTTTTTTCTACTTGTATTATTTCCTATCCATGCAATCTCTCTGCATATGTATGCCCAAACACAGAAATATTCCACAGAAGAAATACAGTCCACAGATGTTATATAAGCTGAACTAACGTATTTTTTCTCTCCAGATTGTGATAGAAAATGAGAGCATGACTTGATCTTCTTGGTTCTTTCGGTAAAGTCACGTAGAAGGGAAGTAATAAAATAATAAAAATAAAACATAATAAAATAATTCTCACGACGTTTCGGCCACAGCGCAAGCAGCCGTCCTCAGGTGAAGACCAGGTATGTCGGGGAGACAGCGTCTGAATGCTTCATTTATTCATGACAGCGTCTGAATGCTTCATTCATGAATGAATGAAGCTGTCTCCCCGACAAACCTGGTCTTCACCTGAGGACGGCTGCTTGCGTTGTGGCCGAAACGTCGTGAGAATTATTTTATTATGTTTTATTTTTATTATTTTATTACTTCCCTTCTACGTGACGACTTTACCGAAAAAACCAAGAAGATGAATCCCTGCAGTCACGAAAGCTTTAAATCGAAGCATGACTTGAGTCAAGGTCATGCATTATCGAGGGCAGTGGTTGTCAGAGTGTGGGACCTGTGACCACCAGGTGGTCCACGGGACTGTGATGCAAATGAAGGTTGATCCGGACAATGCTGACAACCTTTATTATACCTTTTGTTTCGGACATTAATTAATATTTTACCTACGATGATATATAATTCAACAAAATAAGTCAGATAAACTACCCTGAGCCTAACATCTAGAGGCCACCCCTGAAAAAAATAACCTTTTCGCTGCGTTTACGACAAAACCTTTTCTATGTTCCGGTAACATTAATAATTTTGTATAGCTGGTATTTAGAGATAGGCGAATGCCTTTTGTCACCAGGGTTGGGGCGGGGGGGGGGGGGTCCGTGGAAATGTTTGCATCGGCTGAGTGGTCCACGGGCAAACAAGTTTGAGAAACGCTGGCCGAGAGGGAACAATTGTGCCTCTCCTTCGTCTGCTCCGAGAGTGAAATGAAATAGAGATCTATTTTATGAGCAAAAAAATTGCTAAGGTCTACATAATAAAGGTTTTTTGGTTTAATTGCGTAAGTATAAATGCGTCGAAACCCTCCACCATCCGACACAGCCAATTAGTAAGGGATTTGTCACGTAAACAAGACGCAAAATAGTTACTACTTTAGCCCACCGGTGTGTTGGAGAGTAAATCCACAACATTAATAATTTGAGTACGACGTTTCGCTGGTAATTACACCCAGCAAAAAAACCTTTATTATGAATAATATTGGTCGCGAAAGCCTACGTGTTAAACTTGCTAAGGTCTGTACGAGGTCTGAGCATGTTAATGTTTTTGTGCTTTTTTTTTAGCTCTTTGAAGCCAACCATGACCAGGAGACGCCAGTGGTGAATGAGCTGGAGATAGCTGTGGTGGCCAGGTACATCCGCATCAATCCCATTACATGGCACGGAGACATCTGTATGAGGCTGGAGGTATTAGGCTGCCCCATGAAAGGTGATGTTTGCACACATTTCACTTTTGAAAAAAAATCTCTCCTTTTTCTATATTCATTATGGGAGTGTAGTACCGATTGAACCACGTATATATTTACATGTTCAGCTCTTTTATCAATTCACTGATGGGTAATCACCTCCCCACACTGTTTGGGACCATGGGAGTTATTTGACCGTTCTTCAATACGCTGGGCAGTGCAGATTGTGGGGAACATACACATTGGAACATTGGAGAACAGTAGTACGTTGCCACAAGCGATGTTAATGCAATCCCCAACTTGGCTGCCAAAATGTAGTCCCCACAGCCGATAACAACCTTTTTGTGCATAGTGGTTACCCATCCAAGTACTATCCAGGCTAAGACCTGAATAGTACGCATTGCAGGCAATCGGGTCGTACACCACAGTACATTTATATAACAAAAAAACATTGTATTGCATATTTTAAACAATTGAGACATAAATTATTGCAAATTCTTCGTGACATGTAAAGTCTCAAAATCGCTAAAAGGAAACATGGAATAATGTGGAAAAGGTGTCTGGGGGATTTGTAGTATTACAAATTATAATGTGTGCCATTCGTTGCTATGAAAATACCTGCAGCGCGCCCAGACATATTTCAAAATGGAAAAAACTTAAATCCAAGAAAAAAACTGGAAATAACGATTCCCTTGAAATGCCTTAAAATTCTCCATGAAAGTGAATGCTTTATATTATATTGCCAGATGCAAATACTTTTTTTTTACAAATGTTGTGAGTTTATGACTTTGGCATACTGACTTGAATGGAGGAGTTATGCTAAATGGGTTGAATACCCCCTTTCAGACCAATTTTCAGTGGGGATTATAACATGTTTATTGGATAGGCTTCAACAAGAACATTAGCTCGAAGAAATAATGTTTTTGGCTGAACCATATTAAATTAATTTGTGCATTAGGCAAAGTATACACTCTATAAATGTAATGTGTTCTGACATGTGTGCAACAGATCCCAACAATTATTACCACCGAAGAAATGAAGTCACCACCACAGATAACCTTGACTTCAGACACCACAACTATAAAGATATGAGGCTTGTGAGTTGCTTGCCAAAGAGTAATTAAAATTACGAATTGTTTCAGTAATTCAATCACATAGAAAATTGTAAAACAAATGCTGATAATGCGTGCGTGATCCATTAAACATCGTTTGTCACGAACGATCTTTAATTTGCCACATTAATTACTCGATAGAATATTAGATTAATAAATAAAAGACGTTTCTCATTAAATCACTGTATTTAATAATAATAATAAAAAACCACGGGCGCGATAACTTTGAAAAATAAAACACCGCTAATGCACCCGTCTAATAAATTGCGCCCTTGTCTTGCATTAGTTGATGAAGATCGTCAACGAGAAATGCCCCAACGTCACCAGAATTTACAACATCGGAAAGAGCTACGAGGGACTCAAGCTGTACGCCATGGAGATATCGGACAACCCGGGCACACACGAGCTCGGTACGAGTTCACGCCACGCGAAACGTGCAACGCCGCCGGTAGTGCATCACAAAAGGGCCGGTAGTGCATCACAAAAGGGCCGGTAGTGCATCACAAAAGGGCCGGTAGTGCATCACAAAAGGGCCGGTGGTGGCCGCATTCCTTGAGAGGCCATTTCACCGCGTGAACGTGAATATTATACTCCTAGGTTTTTTCGTTAAAGTCACGTAGGTAAAACATCAAAATTAATAAAAATAAAATAAAGATTACGACGTTTCGGAGGCAACACAAGTCGTTATCTTTATTTTATTTTATCTTTATTAATTTTGATGTTTTACCTACGTGACTTTACCGAAAAAACCTAGGAGTATGAATCCTTGCAGTCACGAAAGCTTCAAATCTAGAATTAAGTGAATATTATAATCAGTGCGGTGGAGCTGTTGGTGAGGTGTGCGTGCCGACGGAGCTTCTGCGTAAGTGGCTGAGCGCTGAGCTCAATGCGCCCCGCCCGGCTTGCACTGTAACCATTAGGCCGAATAATTTATGCTTCTCGAGCTGAAGAAAAGTGACAGCCAAGCCCCACCAAGCATGAAGTCGATATTCATTTGTTGTGCTCAAGGAGATAGGACGGTTGCGTGCAGTGACATTCTTTTTTTTTGGCGAAGCCCTTTGGATGATGGCTTTTGAGGGGCACTTGCAAAGCTTAAGAAAATATTTTAGGACACTGCCCGTTATAAAATTGCAGCGCCAATGCCGTGACTCTGCTCACAATTTTCCCATTTTCAATGGTCGGTGGGATACACAGGTTAATTGCTTAATTGGACAGTGATGGTGATATATCATGCACTGTAGCTTGGGCTCCCACAAAGAAAGCCTGTTCGTTTGGACGGCTGCCCCAACCGCTAAATGAGGCACGTACGAAACAGCCAGCGCTGGCGGAGCCACCGCCATCGTATTCCAATCAATCAGTTCCTTTATTGAATTCAATTAAGCACGCCACCTGCACAACCTGCACTAAACTAGGAGGAAGCGCATCTGCGAACGGGCGTCGCGAGCCCTCCGCCACTCGTTTATCGCCCTCCGTGGAAATCCGCAGGCGAGCCGGAGTTCCGCTACGTGGCGGGTCTACACGGCAACGAGGCCCTCGGGAGGGAGCTCACCCTCTTCCTTATGGAGTTCCTCTGCCACGAGTACAACAGGGGCAATCCACGCATCAGGAGGCTCGTGGAAGAGACCCGGATTCACCTCCTGCCGTCGGTTAACCCCGATGGCTATGAGAAGGCGTACGAAGCGGTGCGTACGAAATGGCAGTCGCGATGAGAGGTGTACTCGATGTGGCATTCCAGGTCGCCAAACCCGGGCAGACCTGGCTGAAATTAAGCACACTGCGTACTCCTCCAAACGCGTGTATTTAAAACGTCGACAGAAGTCGTCATCGGTGGCTTGGCTATCGAGTGTACAGGCGGTGACAGGACCGAGAAGCCCAGGTGCTGGGCAACGAAGAGGAGAGAACATTTGGCGAGTGGGGATTTTATTTCCTGCGCCAGAGGGCTCATGCCGAGCCCGCTATGTGACTGGTCAGCATTGTATTTTATTGCATGTTATGCTTCCCCCCCCCCCACGCCCAACTATACTCCAATTGTGCTGTCATTTCATTATTTGTTATTTTAACTCTTGCAGAGGGTAGTGCATCACCCTGTGTTAGAGTAAAGAATTGCCATACTCTTAGGTTTTTTCGGTAAAGTCACGTAGGTAAAATAAATAAATAATGAAAGATACATCATAAAAATAATAGAAGAAATAATAGAAATAAAAAGCTTCAAATCTAGAATTAAATAATTGCCCCCAAAAGATGTGACAGAAATAGGTCTGAAATATTTTCAATCGGCCTCCTTATCTGCACTAGTGTCCATACATTGTAGTGTCACGCGCAAAGACTGTTGCTGACATAGGCCAAATGAATTGGAGAGAGAAAAAAAAAATTTAGTATGATTTTATTCGTGTCATTGGTGAACCGGGATGAGACGATCAACTCGCTTCACCTGCGAACCTTATCTAACCATGAGAGGCTGCCTCCATTCGAACACAGGATCGCCCCACTTGTCTGATCCCCTGATCCTCCCAGCCATCTCCAAGAAATGTATGTAAAAAAGAACACCCCCTTCAAATCAAAGATTGAACATCCGGCAGCGCAAACGTTTTTAGTGAGGTTTTCAAATGTGGCTGAAGCCATTGTTTTATTTTCTGAACTCATTGAATACAACAGCTACAATCATTGAACTGGTCCAATTTAGTTAAAACTAGATAAAAGGAAGTGGGGTTTTTTTCCATTATAACGTGTGTCCCTGTGTAAACTTGTCAGCCTATTTATATATACACATACATTTCACAACAATGTGCTGCATTATAGATTATACTTAATAATTTACAATCCATTATCGGTTCATAGCGGGGTGAAGGGGTTCCTACTATGCCGTGCCAGTCGTTGGGGGCGGTTCACCGAAAACGATCAATCTGGTCAGTGCGAGTTGGTAGCGTACCGGCTCGAGACCGATTCTAATATCCCTCGCCACTGATGCGAGCCGTGCCCAGGAATCGAACTCGGTAGTGTCGCAGTGTGCGAACAGCTGAACTATCGCTCTCCCCCGATTCTGGATAATTTTTCTATTTCTGATGATATGCTGTAAGTACTAATGGTAAAGCAATAGAAATACAAAGAGCACTGACCAGCAGAGTGAAGTATGGTCAAACAACCTCCAACAATGCTAAAAAACCCCCAGCAATTTGGATTGATTCCCAGCCACGGCTATCATTAGCGATGAGTGACATCCGCACTGGTCCTGGACCCCTTGTCAGTGCAGTGAAGTGTTGGTCCAGCATCCCCCATGACTTACATAGCTTTGGAGGTAGCCTTCATCTCACCGTGATTTGACAAAGGGCTGTAAATTGTATTAAATTTGAAATCAATAAATCCATGAGTAAAAAAAAAAGTCAAATATTTAATTCTGTAAGAAATTCACCTTTCCCACCTTTAATCAATTGCCTAGGCGGGCTGGTGCGCACTTACGATCAGTGTGTGACACGTGGTGCGTGATATACGGCGCGTGGCATCGCGCTCCGTTGAGCAACGATGGGATGTGTAGCGGTGCGTGACGCCAGCGTGCGATGTGCGCCGTCGCCCCCAACCAGGGCTCCGAGCTCTCCGGCTGGACCTTCGGCCGTTGGACTCGCAATGGGATCGATCTCAACCACAACTTTCCGGATCTGAACTCGGTGCTCTGGGACGCAGAGAAGCGAGGGCACGTGGCGCGCAGGGTGACGAATCATCACCTTCCTCTGCCGGACTGGTTCCATCGCCGCAACGCCACGGTGGGATATCAACGTGCAGATAAAGAACGCAAAACAACCATGGCACTGCATTTTGCAGCCGTGCACGAGCACTACAAAATAAACATTGGGTGACGTTTTGGGAAATGGTCCTTCTTTTTTTTAGGAAAGATATGTTATATTTAAATACATTAGGAATAGTTGTGAATTTGCGTGGATTATGTAATTAATCCCGAAATGCATTTATTTTTGGATATGTTTCATTCGCTGTATGAAACGAATTATTCATTTGCATATCTGAAAACAGTGGGGGGTTTTTAGCTCTGGTTTGTGTCTCCAAGTTCTCTCGCAAACCTTTTATCAATTTGACCGTTTTTAAATAGGGCAAGTCCCTAATAGCAACACAACTTTATACTCTGGCTTATTTCATATTGGGTTAGATTTAAGAAGGTTATCGTGCCCTCCCGCCCAGTAGGTACCTATATATCCAGACAGACAGAACTAATGCATGTCTGCTTTGAACCTTTGTTGGAAAATGTTAAAAACTAATTCTATCCATCCTGCCATTATCATCATCAGCCTTGAAAAATCCACTGCTGGACGAAATCCTCTCCAACCCGCCGCCACCTCTTACGATCCAGCGATGTAACAATCCACCTAGCACCTGCACGCGAACCGATTTCATCGCTTGATTTCCTCAGAGAGAACGTCCACCGAGGAGATGGAGCGATGAAATGATGAGTATTAGAGAGTCCTGTATTATCTTGATAAATGCATGAGACAGAACTCGGCTTTCCAGGGGGGTCCACAGCGCACCGATGTCTGCTACTTGCCGTGATGAGCCCGGGCTGGAAGAAGACAATGAGCCCCATTCGACACGATCCAATTAACTAGCGGCAATATCACAGAGACATATTTAGGCGTTTTGGCTCATTGTGTTTTTAATTGTCGATCTCTGTTCACCACACATTTGTCAACTCCTCAAATACTTGTATTTGGAAGCATAATCATCATCATCAATCACCATGAATACATAATCATGAATCATTGTCCAGTCATCAATCACCAACATCAATCATGGTCACCATCAATAATCATCAACTGACAATCGCCATTAGTAAACAATCATCAATCATTGTCCATCATCATCATCATCATCAATCGTTTCATTCGTATATTTCCCTTTTAATTCGCAACGATAAATGTCGAAGCGCTGCTAATTAGCCAGTCCTGTCAATTAAATTATCATGTATTTTACAGATGTAACCATTTACTCAAATTGAGACTTAATTTACTATGTTATTGCACAAGTGAACGACAGTATTTTAATTTAAGCCACTAACGTGCAAAACACGCATACATATTATCCAGACACTCAGCAGGATGAACGATGCATCAAAGTTAAGGTATGCATTTTAAACATACATTACTTCAGCGCCATGTCGTCCTTGCACCTTGGACAGCTAATGAGAAAGCAATTACATCCCATAATATGGATGCAAAATTAAGTGGCCATTAGGATAAACAGATATTAAAGACATTAATATAATCAATTACCGGTGATCCTTGGAGTTGCCTTCCGAAATAGGTGCATGGGGATCCTTGGAGATGCTCTTACATTGTGCGAATTTATTAGCAAAATATAACCGGTGAGTATATATGTTGTGATGTCACCGTGTCTATCTGTTTGCATAAAATTTGCACTCGTGATATATATGACAATATATGCATTTTGTGTAATTAAGCGAACTTAGCAACACAATCTCGGCACATTGCTCAATCTGTATTTATGATGCAAAATTAAAACATTGTATTTTTATCGGTTTAACTTAGTGTGGCAGCTACTGTATGTGCAACTGCAATAAAACAACCACCTCTATAAAAGTACTGGTAGTATAATTGGAAACACTAAAATATAAAGGGTTTTTTCTGATTTCAGTTAATCAGGTGTTTTCTAAAATTACCATGATATTGGGAGAATGAGTTGCTCACCAATCATCGTTATCATCAGCCATGACCTCTCCACTGCTGGATGAAAGCCTCACTAAGCAACGGCCATTTATCTGGTGTCACGTTTACTTTAAATGATGCAGCTCCTTGAGAAACTCGCCAACGCCTTCTTTGGCTGCCACTCCATCATCAGTCTCGAACCGTCGGCCATGATTTCCAAAAGCACTCCAACCAGTTCTCGTCTGCCTCTTGATTTCCGCATTCAATAACTGCCCTGGAGTATGCAGTTGAATAGACTCACAGATCTTCTTGGTTCTTTCGGTAAAGTCACGTAGAATGGAAATAATAAAATAATAAAAGTAAAACATAATAAAATAATTCTCACGACGTTTCGGCCACAACGCAAGCAGCCGTCCTCAGGTGGAGAGCAGGTCTGTCGAGTAGACAGAGTCAATCTACTCCATTCTACGTGACTTTACCGAAAGAACCAAGAAGATGAATCCCTGCAGTCACGAAAGCTTTAAATCGAGACTCACAGATGTCGGGTAAAAGCGAGCGCGTGGCGGAACTCGCTCAAGGAGAGGTGCGACGTCTCGGTCCTGCCGCAGCAGGTGGCTGTGGAAACGCGAGCGGTTGTTTCCTGGATGGAGAAGATCCCGTTTGTCCTCGGCGGGAACCTGCACGGCGGCGAGCTGGTCGTCACGTACCCCTTCGACGCAGCGCGTTCGCCGTGGCGCGCGCGCGAGCCCAGCGCCACTCCCGACGAGCAGATCTTCCGCTGGCTCGCCTTCCTCTACGCGTCCACGCACCGCACTATGACCGACGCCAACCGCCGCGTCTGCCACGGCCAGGACTTCACCAAGGACGAGGGCGTTGTCAATGGGGCCAATTGGCACGCCGTCACCGGCAGTGAGTCGCTCACGACGTTAATGTCACCCACCAAAGGGCGGCAACTCGGTCGGGCTGCCGTGTCTCATAGTTTTTAACCCAAGGACCGATTTTTCACAACGTGCTGCTACTGACTGCCGTGGGCTTAATTTCTTCCACTGGATATTTTATGGGCCCGTTGATAGAATCGAGTGTGTGGCCCGTGACTAGTAGCCACAGCCGTAGCGAGAGGCATACTGAATGGGGTGTGCCGGGGATGGAATTAATTTTACGGTTTGCCAACCCGGACGCGCCCAGCTGAAATGATGCCCTTGTAGAAAAAGTGGTCGTAGAAAATGGTGTCAATGTGATGTATTTTTTATTCTCACGAGTCTGAAATGTTGTATCGTGTTTTTAACAGGTATGGGCGACTTTAGTTACTTGCACACCAACTGTTTTGAGGTCACGATGGAGCTGAGTTGTGACAAGTTCCCCCACGAGACGGAACTGCCCCAGGAATGGGAGAACAACCGCGAGGCCCTTCTTGTATTCTTAGAGCAGGTACAAGCTTTGTTCGTGCCTCCCACACAGTCAATTCTTGACATTTGCATTCCGCCCATGAACACGTTTAACCGTCGACGCACGCCATCCAGACCGTGACATAAAATCAGTGGTGCAAAATGTGCGCTGAGTGACAGAAGCTGATCCTCCTCCCCCCCCCCCCCCCTGTGCATTGTCCATTATGCCCTGAACGTGCCAACAAGGCCGCAGAGTAGCTCACACTCTGTCTGCCAAACTAAAGGCATGAAGAAAACTGCCAATTGCGTCAATGGACAAAGCCACCCCCTAATTTCACAATTTATAGACGTTTGCCAATCCACTGCCGGATGTAAGGCCTCTCTACGCCGTGCTGACAGCCAGCGGGGAGCTGTTTGACCATACCACACTAGACTACAATATACCACACTGGTCAGTGCATGTTGGCTAAGAGGGAGGTGGGTGAGACCCAGGACCGATTCATATATACCTCACCACTGTATGTTAGCCTTGGCCGGGAATCGAACTCAGGGTGCCAAGTGCATTGTTCGGTGCACGAACCACTGCACCACTTAACAATACAACACGACGTCGCATATCGAACTCGTTGGGGACTGAGGTGTAGGCAAGGTGGGAACGTATATTTAAATTGTCAGTTACTCCATTCACAAACACTGCAGTGGTCCATTGGTCAAGGCAAATGTGCGATGGTCGGATATACTACATATTCTTAGGGTTTTTTTTTTTCGGTAAAGTCACGTAGGTATTTTATTTTTATTTTACTTTTATTAAAAAAATTTTACTTACGTGACTTTACCGAAAAAACCTAAGAATATGAATCCTTACAGTCACGAAAGCTTCAAATCTAGAACGGATATGCTATGTTGTATTATATGTTGTAACAAAAAGCAGCACATGCAATGCGTTTTGCCCCTCTCTGGTGCTGTCTTGCTTAGACAATGCCCAATGCCCCGTCGATGCACAGCGAACCCGAGCTCCGATTTCGGTCTTGCTCGTGAAGCTGTTTGTTTTTCTCTGCACGCAAGGTCCACCGGGGAATCAAGGGGATCGTCACAGATGCCGATGGTGAAGGAATCCCCAATGCCATCATCTCGGTGGACGAAATCAACCATGATGTGACAACAGGTAGTGAGGGCACGACATTAATATCTTATTCACTCCATTGAGATATCACACATTCGCTTTGAGCAAGTCATTAAATATTGCATCTGTATTCTCATGGGATGCATGTCAATAGTGTGCGAGCAGCTTTTCATATATATATCTTCCTGTGCACCACAACGGTTAAAGCTCCAGAGATAACATTTATGGGCATGACAATGAAAGAGCCCAGATTTTTTTGTTTTATTAATTCAACGTAATATTTTTTAATAGTCGTAATTCTTTTTTCTCTCCCTCTCTCCTAAAACCGCCAAAACCGAATCTTTCAACTGAAACTCGAAGCGAGCGGAGGGGATTACTGGCGGCTACTGAACCCAGGGGAGTACCGCGTGACGGCGCGTAAAGAGGGTTTCGTGCCAGCCGCACAGAACTGCCAAGTGGGGTACGACATGGGCGCCACTCGCTGCAACTTCACGCTGCACAAGACCAACCGGCAGCGCATTCGCGACCTGGCCGAGCTCTTCGGGAAATCGTCGCCACGCGGCCCCAACAGAAGGTTCAGCTCGCAAGTAAAACGGACGTCGCGAACGTAAACACGGTTGGCATTACGTCAAACAAAAACGACAATACAGTTGCTCGCTTCCCCGCTGTGGCCGGCTAGGGTGGGGGGGCCCCTCCTTTGAACAAGTTTGGCTGCTCCGGGTATACAAGGTGAAGCAAGCCAAGTTGTAGCTCGGAGGTAGGAAGGATCGGGACAGCGTCTGTACGGAGAGATTTGCTTGCTTCTTGCTGTGTCTGTTAGTTGCCGGCGTTCTATGAATGAAAATCCTTCAAATTAAGATTAAAATCCTCCTCTTTATCCTTGTTTTAAAATCCTGGTATTTAAATGTGTGCATATATAATGCATATACTACCAAATAGCATACTATATGTATACCCTGGGTGATATATTTATAGATGCCCTGCTTTACTAACAGGGAGACATCATACAAAAAACATTTAAAATTTAAAGCATCTTCTTGTCTCCCACCAATCCCAATCCACTTATTAAGTAATTTAACTCTTGCCTGGCATACATTGTCCAACACAGCCGATGTGATATGCTCACAGCATCCAATGATGTGTAAGCTGAGGTCAATTTATATCTCAGTGGGGTATCTATAATTGGATAATTGGATCACCCTCTGTGTGTGTGTATATATACAAACAAGCAAGACAAATATGCTCCGTATAGCCTTAACAGACTTTTAGGGCAAGTGCTGTTAGCGAGCAGCAATGAAGGCTGGTACGGCACACGAAGGGATGAGAGGCCAGCACCATGCACACACGCACACACATTGGGTAGAACAGAACAGGAGTTTGTCAGAATAAAACACACAACAACACAACAACAACCAAGATATCGGTATAATGCCGCCTATTATAAATAATTCAAATAAATGCATAGGAGATGATTGATGGTGTTTTTTACATCAATATTTTATCTCAGACATAAATCTCCATTACACCAGCAACGGGATTTCTATCGTTTCACTTGCACATAGATCTGGAACAAGGAAACACCTGAGCTCAGCACACACAGCAGCAGCAGCAGCAGGCAACACGAAGATGCAGAGCACGGTTGTTTTTCACTTTATTAACCAGTCCCGGTTGGCATTTGATACTGTATTTTATGAACTAGCCGAGTTAATTGTCCACATTCTACTAAGCGCACAGCAACAGAGGGCTTTTACAAAACACCTTCCATGTTGATGAGCCAATTGTACCCTGATGCCTTGTTTTGAAGAAAAGCAACAATAAAAGGATATATGTTCCGCTGGTGGAACACTTACTCCAACATGTCTCTATCAGGCAGACTGTTATTTCTCGCATTGTGTGTTTTTAGGATGTACGAAACTTATTCTGACTGCTAACAGTTTTTTTTTTTACATAGTGCAAAAGCGAAGTATAAAACTGTTGTGTTTGTGAATACGCCGCAATATATATCCCACTTGTTAAACGTGTATCCTCTCTTCCGCGATTAACGAGGCCTCTTAAAAACGAAATGGGCACTAAGGAGCCAATGAAAAGAAAGCAAAAGTGCACAGCGCGAGATTTTCTCTTTCACATTCGTTAATGCACCACAGCGCTTAACATAATTACTCTCACTTAGTACCGAGTGACATCCTCAAGTATCCATAATAGCGAACAATATGTGTCGTTCAACCCACCATCACCCAACACAGCCAATTAGTAAGGTTTGTCACGTTAACAAAACGTGTCAAATCGTTACTAGTACAGCACACCGGTGTGTTGGAGAGTAAACCCACAACATTTACAAATCGAGTACGACATTTCGCCAGGAATTACAACGAGCATCATCAGGCGACAGCCAGAGTTGTAGAGAAAACCTCCTGTTTCGGTCTTAAATAGAGGGACACATGTGATGTCGACACTTGTAAGCGAAACAGGTGCGAAAGCCATTGGCTATGTCGGGAAGTGGTGGGTTTAACGACACAATATAACCCAAAATCTATCTTATTGATAATATTGGTCGCGAAAACCTACATGTTAAACTGATCCTCCAGTATAATCATCATTGTCATCAACATATCTCTTCTTGGTTCTTTCGGTAAAGTCACGTAGAAGGGAAGCAATAAAATAATAAAAATAAAACATAATAAAATTATTCTCACGACGTTTTGGCCAGCGTCGCCTCGACAGACCTGGTTTTCACCTGAGGACGGCTGGTTGCGTTGTGGCCGAAACGTCGTGAGAATTGTTTTATTATGTTTTATTTTTATTATGTTATTACTTCCCTTCTACGTGACTTTACCGAAAGAACCAAGGAGATGAATCCCTGCAGTCACGAAAGCTTTAAATCGAAATCATCATATCTGTCATAGGCTGTGGGACTGTCCTACGTGGTTTTGAGCAGAGGACAAATCTCAACGTTGGACTGACCAGCGAGCTGTGTTCGTATGACACCCACGACCCACGCAGCTTGAGGCAGATAGATCCTCCTCCAGAAGTGGTTTGACAAAAGGGGCTGTTTATTGTCCACATCATTGACGAGAACAAAGCCGAGAGCCATTCTCTTTTGAGTGCAGCGTGTTCCAAGGCAAATTTTCACGTTCATAAATGGGTTCACCTCGACCTTGGCTTTCCATTCCGTGCATTGGGAGGAGACGCTGCTGCTACAATGAGTCTCATCGTCCTCCAGCCTGCTTAGCACTCTGACAGCAGAACTCAGGGCTCAGATCAGGCATGGAGCCAAACGCCTACTCGGGTATTATTGGCAAGTTATCTTCTACTATATTGCCAAGGAATAAAACAAATGCTAATTACAATTGGCTTCCTACAGCTTTCACCGGAGGTGATTGATATGCTGATGATACAATGGCTGGCTGAGATATTGTGTTCATTAAGCTTTTCAAAAAAAACATAAGTAATACAATGTGTGTTTCTTTTCAATTCGGCAAGAATAAGGAGAGCATACAGGCTTTAGAAATGTTATTAAAAGTCGCTCAGATGCACCGTAAGGTTTTACTTAGAAGCCTCATTCTCATGCATTAAACATAAAATATGTGCATGGAAGTTGCGGGGGATTCTATATTGAAAATAAATAACTACAAATCTGCTCAAACTTTTAATATCCTGTTCTCAAAGCAGGATATTGTCTCCTATGTACACCTTCCAATGCATTATGTTTTGTATCAGGAAGTAAAGAAAGTTTAATTTTTAATGAAATGAAGGAAAACGAATATTTTACTTTTCAGATTTTATCACGCTGCTGCATTCCACAGTGTGCCGGTACTTTATGGAGCGTGTCACGCAAGGTAATGAAACCACAGTAATTAAATTCATTTATCCTCCCTGATTAAAACAAATCACAGTAACCATTTCATCAGCACATTTCCCATGTGTCCTCCGTGCATGTTGGTACACTTCGCAGGCACACAAGCGGGGACATCCTGACCTTTCAGATGATCAACAAAAACAAAACAAGACCACGCACAGCCCAGTGGTGCAATGTGGTTGGCACGAGCCATTGTGCAAATAACATATTGACACGGTAGCGAGATGTTAACTAGCTCACCTGGTGTACAGGAGGTTGTGGGTTCGATCCTGACCCTAACGCCTGTTCGCATGTTCTCCCTGTGGTCGCGTGGATTTTTCTCCGGGTCCACCGGTTGTTCCCTCATTTAGAGACATGCGTTTAGAGTATTTGGCTGCAATACATTTCCACATAAGCCACTTCGTTGAACTAGAATTTTTGACCAGGTCGCTTTTGAAAAAGAGCCACATAGCTCAGTGAGCCTTAAGCTGGTTAAAACACATTCCTCCTGCGGAGGGAGCTGGTAGGAACGTTGGGTTGCTCGGTCAATGGCCAGGGTAAACGGCGGCGTGGTGTATTCCGCAAATATGCCCGACTGAGAGGGCGGGCACAAGCCGGCGTGAGTCGGTTAAACGTTGAGTTTTATAAGGACACCACGGGGTGACCAGCCCCTCCCCACCCAGCCCCACCCCTCCCACCCCCCACCCAGCCCCACCCAGCCCCACCCTCCCCACCCAGCCCCTCCCCACCCAGCCCCTCCCCACCCTCCCATCCCCACCCAGCCCCTCCCTGCACGACGGACACAATAATCCCCTGTGGGCTGGTGTAACCAGGAGGTTCCTACCAGTAGAAATAAAAATGTTTAATTTAAAGGTTTAGTTTAATGAATGAAATGGGGGCTTGCGATCAAATTTCACCTCCCCTCCTCTTCATAGCGCATTGCCTGAGGTGTGGCCCTCTGGTCCATGGTCCCCGGTGCAGTTTCACCCCCTCCACCCTCTGTAGCTACGCCACAGTGTGCAGGGTTCGACACGCAAAGCGATCGAAGAGGCGTTATGGACAGCTGAAGCTGAAGGAACACTGCAGTATTTTTTCTGGTTGGTGATTCGAAAGTTCGGTCACGTGGGACAGGTTTGAAGTGCAGGGGAAGGGAAATATCATTAACAGTTGCGAACGGGATGAAACATTAATAAAATATTCACTGATTATTTTTTATAACACAGGAATGATGATGATTGGTGGAGTGGTGGTGATGCGATGGGTAGTTCGCTGAGCTATGCATCCAGCGACCAGTGTTTAATTCCCATCCACAGCTCACATCAGTAGCGAGTTTTATCTGAACCTGAACCATCCATGAGCCCCCACTCCCCCCACTCCCCCCCCCCACCCCTTGTTGTTCAGCGCGGTGAGAGTTGTCACGTAACCTCCACGACCGATTCGACGTCGGGAGGCCTTCATCCATCAGTGAATTGTAAAAGGGTTGTATATTATCAATGATGTTGGTGATGATGAATCGTTGAATGTGAGCACATGCAATGAAATAGGCAAGGGACGATTTATTTGAAGAGCTGAATGTTACACAGTTGGTGGCACAGGGATTTGGACAAGCCACGTCGCATTACAAGCCTGCTTCTCGTGGTCAACAAGTACACAACAATCCCCCAAAAGGCACTGCAGGCTCACGATCCCACAATAAATACATCTCAATACAAAACAATCAACCTCAACTGTCAAACAATGAAGAGAATACTTCTCCTTTTTGCACTCGCCAATTATCAACATTGCATTAATTTCTTCTAACAACTTGAACAAAAAAGCATTTCAAAGGAATCGTGTTCCAATAGTGCAAGCACAAGTGTAATAAAGAATAAGAACATATCCCAACAGGTAACAAAAGTTAATGACCGATGAACCATGCTGTATTTACACAGTAGCAGAAGTGTAGCGCAGTTGGCATGATGTTCACTACCTCGCATGATAAGCAGGAGGTCATGAGTTCGTGGGTTCGATCCTGACCCCTGATGCCTGCTGTTCTATTTGGAGTTTGCATCTTCTCACCGTGGTGGCAGTAGATTTTCTCCACGTCCTCCGGGTTTTCCCTCCACATTTAAAATCGACATGCGTTTATTAGTATGTGGCTGCGGTATATTTCCACGTAGTGATAGGCCAATTCATTGAGCTTTAATTTGTGGTCGGCTCACTTCTGAAAAAGAGCTATATAGCTCAGCGGGCCTTATGTGGTAATATAAAAAAAAATGTTTCGTATAGTTTTAGAAATTGGGAGCCCGATGCAACTGCCCTCCACCCTCTCTTGGCAGCCTGACATGTGGGCCCCTCAGGCCAATGGTCCCCGATGCTGCTGCACTGCCTGCACACTCGTCAGCTACGCCACTGCACAGTAGACTTGCGAGAGAAGTGTTTTTTTCGTAATCATTTAAAATAAAGAAAAAAAATTCAATAACCATTAAACCATCGTTTAGCTCAAAAAAGCTAAAGTTTTTTTTTCACATCAGTTTTCCCATAGGAAAGAGTTATCGTTTTGGAGCTCTGCCAGTTTCTTGTTGAAGGGGGCATACACGGCATTAAGGATCAGCCTCGTGGCTGGCAGCATGGGACCCAGGATTTTGTCAGACAGACGCCTCGAGTTGTACGGCGGGCTCGCGAACATTGCTGCCTCGATGTGCTTGGGTACTGCCCCTGGAGGAGGGAGGAGGGAGGAGGGAGGAGGAGGAGGAGGAAGAAACATCAAACATTGCGACAACACGTCAAAGGCAAAGGTGCAGCTGCGCAATTAATGCCCCCCCATCACTGCCGTCAGTAAGAAGTGCCTCCACTAAGGGAATTCCAGAGGTCTTCTCCAGGAGGTATTTGGCCTCGTCTTCCACGCTTGCCAGAAATCTTGGAAGATTGTGAGAGATTGACGAAGGTTTGGGAATGCCTTCATCCACGAGTGTATAGATCACGGCTAGCCATTGAACAAAGATGGTTACTGCGTCGCGTGGCACTTTCAGATGCATGTCTGCGACCGTCTCGAATGCTCCTTCCAGTATTAGGAAGTTGCTGGAGCTACGCACATTTGAAATCAGGGTTGAAAAAAAATTTCTTTAGAACTGTCTTCTTGGTTCTTTCGGTAAAGTCACGTGACTTTACCGAAAGAACCAAGAAGATGAATCCCTGCAGTCACGAAAGCTTTAAATCGAAATTCTTTAGAACTGCTTTTTGTATTTAGTTTATTGTCCTTCCCCCGCAGCTCTGATTAACTCGGTTGGCTACGTACGGTGCAAAATAAGGACAACATACGTGCACACAAGTGGGAGTACCCACGCTTCACCCCACCACAAGCAGACTGCCGATTGACTCAGTGTGATGTACCCATTTATACTCGAGGATGGATGGAAGGGTGGTGGTGGAGATTTGATGAACTTGTTTTTTCACCTGCCACACCTGGGTATGAAATCGAACCGGTGCACTCTAAGATTCCAAATGCAGTGTGGTAACCATTACAACCACGGCAGCATCCACTGACGATGCATAAACAATGGACCAAGCAAGCTCATTTGTAACACTCCAGAAATAGGCTGTGATGGCAAAAGAACAGCACATTCTCTGAAATCATGTTTAATCACCTGAAGATCCAGAGCGAACAAGAAGAAAATAATTCTCGCATTATTTATAATCTTTATTTTCAATTTCACATTTTATGTGTTTTCGGTTCAGCTGCATGCCTCTGTTAGTTAGGACATGCGTGCAATGTTTAAATGTGCTGCGATGAATTGCTTAGCATCGTTAGTGCCAAAAAAATAATGACGGCGCATTTGATCAGTCTTATGCCTAAAAGGCAAAAATAAAGATCTCCCGTATAGCCTTCAGCAGACTGTTACGGCAAGTGCTGTTACGGCAAGTGCTGTTACAGGATAGCCATTAAGGCCAGCACAACACACGAGGGGGTCATGGGGGCAGCATGTACAAAGCCTTTGTCTCCCCAGTGCTGATGTTATATGGTCCACACCAAGTACTCATTTAAGGCTGAGTAGGCTCAAGACCAGTTCTGATATTGCTCACCACTACTGTTAACCGTGACCGAGAATTGAACTCGGGCCACAGTGCAATATCCACTCGACCCAAACCTCTCATGCACGCATTTACACAATCACATCACGGAGATAAAACATTTGAATAAAAACTTTGCTTGCATTCCATTTGCTTAAGTATCACATCTCATAAAAGGCAAATTACTTGGTTCACCGAAGATGGGGATAATATATTATTAAGTGTTTAGCGTGTGCAGTCAAGTAAAGTAGGACATTAACCTGACGCTGCCCAATGAATGAAACAACTAACCTCTGGACCATCATTTTTGGGCAACCAAATTGAAAATGTTGGCTTTCGGACATTTTTAGTTATAAGAAGACTCAAATATACATTTGGGCCAAATTTCACCTTAAAAATCCTTGCAGAGCATCATTATAATTTACATCAATCACTCACTCAGCCAAGATGTAGCGGTGGTGTAGCGGTGAGCACAATAATCACGCTTTAAACCTGTATACCTACGTGTGATTCCTGGTTACGAGTAACAGTAGCGAGCGACATCCGAACCGCTCATGGTTCCTCCCTTACCGACCGGCGCTGACCGGCGCCGTGAAATGTAGTCAAAACCACCTCTACGTCCCGCACTGCATGTGCGGAGGGGGCCCTCATCCAGCAGTGGATTGACCAATGCCTGTAAGTGTACGTAACTCAGTTGGTCACGATCGTCGTTGTTGTACAAGCAAATCATTCTCAGCGCCCACATGAACATGGGGGTGGACTCACCGAGCCCCAGGAAAGAGAAGACCTTCTCCATCGTGACGCTCGGATGCCGAGCGTGGTCCTCCAGCTTGAGGATGAGGATCTGGTCCTGCCTGAAAACGCTCAGCCACTCCAGCAGGTACACCACGTAGAAGCCTATCCTCAGCCGCACCTGTAAAGGCACACACAATCGCGTCCCGTTCACAATGCTCCCTGCAGAACCCTGCATTCCAGGCTGCAGCATACTCTATTATGCTGTGTGCAGTATAATAGAGTACGTGTTTTTATTGTGCTGTTTTGTATGTTTTTTTAATGCATTCATAAGGGGGAGTGGTGGTGCAGCAGTTTGTGCACTGCGCTATGAACTCTGCGTCTTGAGTTCAAATACCGACCATGGCTAACATCATTGGCGAATGATATCTGAAATCATCCTAAGCCATTTTCCTCCCACTTCACCAATCTGCACTGACCAGTGCGGTTAAATATGACGAAACAAAACCCCGTGAGCAACATGGCATGGAGAGGCGACCATTCAGCAGTGGACTGACAAATCACTTCAAATAATTATTTTAATAAATTAATGTGTCCATGACAGCATTCGACAGCCTGGTCTTGTAAAGAGTGCCACATGGGAGTTGGCTTTCTGCGGACCGATGGGACAGTGCACCTTATTATCACACTCACTGGAATGACATTAATGGTGATTCTGACTGCAGAACTGCACGTGCACGCACGAGGATAAGCAAAATATATTAGGGGAGAAAAATTCGGGGACATTTAGAACCGTAGCTTTTTGAGAGGCCATAAAAAATCAGTGCAATGAACACGATTGTAAATGTAATAAAATTAGCATACTAATAATTACACATCATTGCAGCAATGTGGGAGAAAACAAAATCCTTTGGCTATTTTAAAGTTTATTTTTGAAAACATTTTAAGTTTGGCAAGGACCAACATATCGTGCTAAAAATTAAAACACATTCGTGGAATCTGTAGAGAAATTGCAGGTACCGGCATGGCGAGGCTGAGGTCATAGTTGTATAAGCACGCCCTGAACGAGATAGATTGTGCACATGCCAAAAATAGCTCCACAGACTCCACGACTTTCTCATGGAATGCCTCCGCTGACTTGTTCGTCTCCATGAAGTATAAGTAATCTGAATACAGCCTGCAAGGGACAAACAAACCCATTACACGTGATTATACCCCGCAAACATCATAATAAACGCCATTAGTATAGCGTTCACGTCAATGTGTAACAACGCGCAACACTCAGTCGCTAACAACTACTGCTGCACAGGAGGCCTCCCCACTCTGTGAGGGTCGTGGGGTCTATTTTGGCCATACTTACCCACGCTAGTCACAACGGGTCGGTGACGGTGGTGTGTATAGACACAGGAACATAGAAGTATAGTAGAACAATGGAAGTTTGTGCATTGCCCTCCGATGCTCACCGCATAGCCCCATAGCCTGTAAGAATGTGAATGCATGTTGATCGCCCATCCATGAACTATCGAGGCTGAATCCTACATAGCGTCTGAGATCCGACGAGATAGGGGCATTCTGGGTGGTGGTCTGGTCATAAACATTGCACTCATATACTGTACATACATGTGTATGATGGAGTATACATGAAGCGTAACGGCACGTGCCCCCCCCCCCAATGATTCGATCTAAATCCCGAATTTACATCGGATCATTGGTGTTTATTATTGATAAATTGGAATTTTGCGGCCCCCACTGTCACTGTGTAGCAGGGACTCTATGAGATGATAGGACAATACTCTGAGTTCATAATTGGCAATAAGTAACGGCAAAGCAGTTATTAGTGACTCACATAATTGTGCGCAGTTGCGTATACAGTACACGACTTCCCTGAAGGCATCAACACCTCCAGCGAGCGCGATGCCGATCACACAACGCGGTTCGAATTCGACCCTCGATCGATGGCTGCGCCATCGCCGCACACGCGTCGAATAAAAAGCAAGGGACAAGTCCTTACTTACTAACAACTCATCATTTTTCATTGCTGGAGGAGTTCCCCTACCTGAAAATTCTGGCTTCGCCATTGCATGCACTGTTTTGTAATTGAAATATAAGTGTACGAGATACAGCCTGAGCAACAATCACAGAGAACACAGTCTGGAAGAATCACACATTAAAACCAATTACTGGTAAGGAAATGGAACGGTGATATAGTGGTCAGTGCCTACACTGTCAACACAATTTCCTGAAGTTGATTCCCAGCCACGGTTAACATCAATGATAAGTGATATCTGAACTGGTCCTGGGAGCCTCCCCACACTAATTCATCAGCCCACACTGACCAGTGTCATGAAATATACTATCACTAACAATGTTCCATTTTACCAGGTAAGGCCCACTGAGCTATGCAGCTCTTTTTTCAGAAGTGAACTGGCTACAAATGATACAAATTGAGCAATCTTTGGAAGGATGTTATTAACCAGCTAAAGCCTGAACTGGTTGTGGTTGTTTCCATCATAGTAGAGTTTTCCGAGTGACTTTCCCCCCGTGTCCCACGCTCAGCTTCCCACTTCTAGCCCCGCCTACTCCCCCAGCCTCACTTCTTCTCCCCCAAGCGCTCACGCAGCCCCCTATCCCCCCCTCTCTTTCTCCCCCCCCTTGCTCCTCCCCCTTTCTTACCTATATAACCTCTTGCCACGGTAGCTCTCTCGCCTACTTCAGCATTTGTCTTGCTGTGGTTGTTCCAACTGATGAGGATTGCTCGTGTTGCGATCGAAAGGTCGTGATTTGTTTTATTTTCTTTCTACCTACATGACTTTACCGAAAGAACCAAAGAGTACAAATGATAGCTCAATAAAGTGGCTTATCACGTGAAAACGCATAGCAGCCAAGTACTCTAAACTCACGTTTCTAAATGTGGAGGTAAAAACCGGAGGACCCGGAGAAAATCCACGCGACCACGGGGAGAACATGCAAACTCCAAATATACAGGTGTCAGGGTCGAGATAGATCCCACGACCTCCTGTATACCAGGCGAGGTGGTTAACATTTCGCCACCCTTGGTCAAACAACCCCCATGACCAACGGTGTGGGGAGGTCTTTAGTAGTGGATGGTCATTTACAAGGAGCTGTGATTAATGTTCCCATATTACGTGTGATGGTAAGAAACAGCTCTGCATGAATAGCCGGATGCTTGGAGCTACACCGAAACGGAGGAAGATGAACACGTGGATTAAAGCGCATACACATTAAATAAATAATGTTTGCCTGTTAAGAATAGTAAGTTTGCTTGGGCAGGGCACTTCTATTGAATAAACATGCGTGCAAAATACAGATAGATAATTGCATGCTGAGATTGTGAGAGATGACAAACGGTTGGTAATGCCTTAATCCAGCAGTGTATAGATCATGGCTAGCAATCGAACAAAGACACGTACTGCATTGCGTTCTTTCAGATGCACTTCTGCGGCCGTCTGGAACGCTCTTCTTCCGATATTAGGAAGCCACTATAGCTATGCACTTTTAAAGCATCAAGATTGAAGACTACATTTCTTTAGAACTGCTTTTTGTGTTCAGTTTGTTCTCCTTTCCCCGCACCTTCGACGAGCACGGTTGGCTATGTACGCTTCGAAAGAAGTTCAACACGTACATACACACACACATACATGGGACATGATGGTAACTAGCGGCACACATTGGAGTAATGATCTCTCAGCTGCAAGGAATTACCTTTCCGTGGGATTCCTCAGCATTACTATGAGTTTGGCTTCGGGCTGCACCGCATGGATGAAATCCTGGACCAGAAACGGCGGTTCTCCATCTGATGTGTTTCCAAATGCAGTTTCCCATGCATTGTTATCCCACATTGTAGAAGCACTGGCTTCCCCTGGAATAGCCAAACGTTAGCGTTTATTTCTGCATTCTTGGTAGCAGAAAATACATCTGGAGATTATCATGAAAAAAAAACGATACATTTGTGTAGATGAACAGAGAAAATCTCCGGTTGCTTTCGACAAAATATGGAGAGCATCAAAATGCGCAGATCTCGGAGGAAGTTCTGTAATATTCTATTCTGTGGGCTGTTCTCAAACACGTGACATGATGCTGATAGCACAATCGAGATAGAATTGAGATATTTTTTTTACATATATATACGCACACGAATAAAGTAAAAAAGAAATGGTATCCCAATCTTGGAATGTAACTTAGTGCATTGGGAGCTACGGATTTAATGCACCTTACAAATGTAAATGATCACTATTATAATGTAGGTGTCTCGAGAATGTGATCCACATATGTCGCATAGATGTAAAGAATCACTTAGGTTAGAATAAAACTCATATTGACTTTTCGGTCATAAAAAATTATGTGCGAGTGGTATGTTAAAATGACCCTGCAAGGCGTCTCAATTGCAATGCATTGCTACTATGAGCGTGGCTTTACCATTAATGATTCTGTGGTACGTATATCCGTTTTCTTCGGTAAAAGTGTCTTTGATTCGGCGCGTTGCATTGTCAAACAGATCCAAGTAATCTTCAAATGTGCACTTGTACTGCATGTTTGGAAGATCGTGCTTATTTACGTACCCTGTAAGAAGCACATACGCACGCACGCACACATACATAAAATTATTCGAAAAAGACAGCACCGATAAAAGCGACACATTTATGCGATCGAACAAAACCCTTACAAGCAAGTTTCGCACATGACGATGCAAACGTACACTTAATAAAGTATAGGTGTGACACTTCTCGTGAATTCAAAAAGAATGGTTGCTGCCACCGCTCCTGCCGTGGTTTATATTACAGCTCTGCCAGCCTGGGGCTGCAGCCACAGTGGGAGTCGTGGGGGTAACACCCCCAACATTTCTTAATAAGGCCTAGAGGGTCCCACAAAATGTGGGACAAAATATTCACCGTGCAGTTCTTTTGTTAGTCCACATTTTTCTCCCGTCGGCAAGGGGATGTAATAGCTGATTATGCTGATGACGAATCCTTTAAATGCACCGTAATCGCACGAACCAACAGCCGGGTCATTACTGAGTCAGTTGCAAGCAGATTTTTGTATATCGTTATCGCGAGGGGTGGTGTCGGATTGGGGAGGTGTTCATTCAGCTGTCTCTTATCCACAACAAAGTAGCCATCAAAACACAGACGGTCACTGCATCGCACGCTTTCAGATGGCCTTCTGTGGTCATCTAGAACGCTCTTCCTTCCGATATGAGAAAGCCACTGGAGCTATGCACTTTTAAATCTAGAATGAAAGCTCATTTCTCTCGAGCTGCTTTCTGTGTTTAGTTTGTTGCCATTCCCTCGCACCTCCGATTAGCACGGTTGGCTATGTAGGGTGCAAAAGAAGTTTAACACACAAACGAAGTGGGGGGAAGAGCTCGGCGGATCATATCTGTAATCGAACCACTAACCACCGGGAACCATTCCCTCACTCATCGCACAACGCCAACTTACAAAGTGTGGCAGCCCCCCTGTTGCCACTCTTCTCGCTGTAACAACAACGAGGATATGCAACGCGCCCGCAACGTAGTGACGTCTCGAGGCGCAGCAATGCACTCGGAGACAGGAAGGAATGCGAGGAAGACATTAAAATGACTACATGTCAGAGCGTTTGACGTAAAAAGTGATTATCTGGCTCAGGGATACTTGCAGTAGCCTCGACGTAAACGGTAAAGATGCAGCCCTGCAACTTATCGGTCAAATCACCTCTGCCAAAAGGGCCACCACAGAGATGGTACTCAACAGAGCCTATGTAGGAGGTAATTGGCCTATTATTTCACCCTGGCCAGATGTCTTTGGCGAGGTAGGAGTATCCATTTTGTTGATTACAAAATGTATTTTAAAACTCGTTTCTTCAGAACTGCTTTTTGTGCTTATATTTGTTTTACTTCCCCTGCACCTCCGATTAGCACGGTTGACTACATACGGTGCAAAAGAAGTTCAAAACACACACAAGCATGCCCACATTTCACCCCGGAAGCGGACAGGATTTAAGAAACTCACCCGTTGTTTCAACTGCCGCAACCGGAACATCAAATCAAATCGAACCAGCGACCCCGCGATTACAAGTCCGGCACAACCGGTCAATCGCACCCTCGACAACTACAACAGGAGAAAAAAGGAGGTAACGAAAGCACGTGCTCACCGTATTGGTTTCTCGACCACCAGTGTGGCTCCTTCCGTATCGCAAACGTCACCTCTGGGTGCATCTTGAGGCGCTCGTAGAGGTCCGTCGTCCCGCATTTGGGCTGCCCGATGATGTAGAAGTAAGGCAGGCAGCGCATCCTGTACAGGCGCTTGCCCTGCTGCAGCAGGTGCCTGTCGAATGTCTGAAAGAGCTGGCGGAAGAACGGTCGCAGGTGAACGGCGAGGACGTAGTAGACATTGGTGATGTACGGGTTCTTGCTGCCACCGCCGCCACTGCCACTGCCCGTGCTCCTATCGTACGGCTGCCACCAGCACGGGTTTTTGAAGTTCAGCAGGAAGTCGCTGGGGGCGGAAGAAAATGTCTGCAGAGGGAAGGTTCAAAATGTTATATATATTTAAAAACACACACAAAAAATGTGAAATGAAGCCAAATACAAAGGCTCAAATTTAAGCCACCAAGGCTGTAAATCTACAGGTTTGGGTATGATGATGATGATGCTGCTGTTGTTGTTTGGAAAATTACCTTCCTCGCGTATCTCAAGAGTTCTTCCTTATTCGGCAGATTTCGTGCAGTATAAACAATATCCTGAGTATAATTATCAAAGGTCACGACAAAATGAATGTCTTTGAAGTTAATCCGCCGGCTGTTGCCAGCAGCAGGGGCACCCTGTTGTTGATCAGCTGCTAAAGAGCACGGTGGGACGGTGGTGTCGCTGTGGTGTTCGTTGATTACAAAATGTCGATTTTGATTTAGGAGAGAGAAAATGGACAATCCGTTCTTCCCACTGAGAGGGTATGATGCCAACAAAATCCAGATGCACACGAGCGCTGACAACATGAAGCATACTCGTTTTATGCAGAGGTTTCCACGCATCGCGATGCTGTTTCCATTTTGTGACGGACACTGCACATATGATTCCATCAATTCTGCTAGAAGGGTAATTGGTTAATGCTCGCATGGGCCTGCGCAGCCACTGTGACACACCAGCAATTAGCATTAAATGTGTACGACATGTGTAAATGCCACTAATACTTTGCGATTGGGAATTGGATTGTTCTCATCAACATTCGTCATCTCGATTCATCCTCGTTACGTTGATGAAATTCATTGTTGCATGATCTGCAAGACAAAAAACGAGAAGGGACAGGAATAAACAACGTTTTTAAAAAAGGAGACATTGCAGACATCATTATCTCTAGAAGTATCTGACACCACAGCAACAAAGTTTACTAATAAGTGCTTGCTTTGAGAAACCCATTAGAGGAAAGTGTAATTTTAATCTCTGTTCACTATAGTGCTATTAAGTCAATTCTAGAGTTCCATCAGCGTGTCCGCAACATCGCAACTTTTTGTAACGTTCACAATTTATTATACGAAGCACACATATGACCCCTAACGAAATTATTGCGGGAATAATAATTCATAATATTCATTCAAATAATAATGATTTGTTTTTGATACAGAGCCGTATATACAGCGGGGCGTCTCAAAGCGCTTTACATCACAGGGCACCCCCGGTGGCAGCTCTCCCTGTGTTAGGCACAAGGTAACTCAGAACACGGCCTGCAAGTAGCGAGGGGCGATGATTGTCATGCATAATCCCCATTAAGTAATTTACAGGTAATCATTATTACATTTTGCAAATTTTAACCCTGATGTGACTACATAATCGCCTGATTTTGCCAAAGTATACACTGCGTGTATGATACACATGGCAAAGCAGAGGGGTTGTTGGACTATGCTGGTCAGTGTGGCTAGTGAAGGTAAGCTGCAAGGGGGAGTGGGGGCAATGGAGAACTCAGAATATCACTCGTCACTGATGTTCACCGTGGCAGGGAATCAAGGCAAGATCACCATGTTCAAAGCGCAGTGTGCTAACCACTGCACTCCAGCCATGGTATTAATATTGTCATATGAGGGTGTAATATGTTATTAGGAGATGGTGATTTGCATGCACTGACTACTACAGTGGTTTGTTTGATGTCCTTTAACGCGTTATTACAAACCGAGGACACTCATGGCAGGGAATAGCCAAGTCCCACCATGCACAATTTAATTAAAAGTGAACAACGGTCATTCCAAGTTACTTGTGGTGCAAGGATACGTTAAAATGATCGTGACGTGTAGAATTATATTTGTAGTTCGATTAGCACTTTTCAAATTAGGCCAAGACTGTATTTTTCTGACCTATTGACCAACGCAAGTATAAGTCACAATTTTTAAACACCACCCAATGTACAGGCAGACATAAGCAATTTGCAAATGGCAGATTATTAACAATTCAAGGCAGCTAGGCTCTGCAATATTTAACACTCTTGGACCATTACGAATTAGCATTTTATATGGAAAAATTGGAAAAAATATATATTTAAAATATTCCAGGGTGAAGCTAAATTATATGTGGTTTAATTTAAATTCTCACATTAAATAAACATGTGCTAAAATAAAAAAGAATATACATATCGCAATATTAGCTGATTTTAGTTGTCCATACACAAAAATAGCATTGTGTCACTTTATAATAACATCATTCTCAAACAGAGAATGGACACCCCCTCTCTCTCATGCGCATGTGTGTGCATGCATCTGTGTGCACAGCGGCAATGCGCAGCGTGCGTATTACAACGCTCTAGGCAAACAATACTCTGAAAAAACATAGACGCAATATTTCCGTACATTATGTTTCTAATAAACGCACGCCGTGGACACACAGCAGCTCGCCGAGTGCATACCTCCCTTGACAAATCAACCATAAAGTGACCTCATAACGTTGCCAAGCACCTGCCTTAAATCATCCCGCCTGGAGTAGGGCCTCACCGAAGTCAGCCTTTTTGTCGGCAGCCAGCGGAGGTGGTTCCCAGACCCGGGGTTCCCTTAACCACATCCGCAATGCCCTCGCTGGTTTTTAATCGCACACAGCCCCTTGGCTCAGAGAGGCGGCCGGCTGCTCCCAGTGAGAGGTGGTGAGGTTCGAGACGTAAGAGCGAGGAAAGGGGAAGTGTCAGGCGTTTAATGGCATGCTGCCCTCATGCCTGAACAGCCAAAGGGTGGTGGGTGGTGGGGAATGCAGAAGGTCAAGGGGGGTCAGATATGCATCACAACAGTGACGAGAATTTTAATAAACAGAGCCAATCTGCTGCAGGACAAAAACAATTGTTACGAATGTTCCTAAAGCCACAACCATGATTATAAAAAAAAATAATGTCATTTGCAGTTTGAAAATAGGAATACTAACGTTGAAAATAATGAATGCATTAAAGCAGGATTTTCCATAATGCACCATTGATTTTTGGTGGCACGTATTAACAAAAAATCTAATGAATTTTGCTCATTTGGAAATGTATGGTTGATATTAAATTTGCTTAAAATCAAATGAAATGCATAAACTACACCGTGACCTGGCAGGAAGGAACAGCTGCACCCTTTATTAAACAGCTCCACAGTAAATTACATACATCAATAGACATTGTAAGCCGAGCGAGCTGTACCACGTTATGATCCCATTCTTTGAATATGTATTAACATGAATACAATTACTCACATTACCACCCGTTTTCATTTCAAGGAAAATTATACGTTCCAGAAAAATAGATATATATGCGAATCCATCGCTGCCCACAAATACTTTCACGCTTTCCAGTGCTATAAAAAAGCAATTTCTGTACTAATGGTTACTCTTAACCTCAAAAAAAGCATATTTGATTAAATTGCATAAGTAGATGTAATCTATGGTGGTGCATTGTTATAGTGCCAATTACCTATGTTCTATCTATGTATAGCCCTTCACCAATCCATTGCTGGATGAAGGCCACCCCATGCCATTATCGTCAGGGAGGTTAATTGAAGGTCGACCTTGATTTTGTTAAATACATCACCACGCCGGTCAGTGCAAGTTGGTGAAAGGAGAGCCCAGGACCGGTTGAGATATCACTCACCACTGATGTTAGCCGTGTCCAGGATTCAAACTCGGATCACCAATCTAACAGCGCAATGTGACAATCACGACGCCACTATTTCTGATATGCAGCTCCAAAATAAGAGGCCAAAAGGATAAAGTATACACCAGTGCTTCTTTTTGCACTAAATTTCAAACAAGCAGTGCATACGGAGTAGTCAGTATAATCTCTAATTGTGTGAACTGTAACATTTCATATTCTACCTTTCAGAAGTTGTCTGTGTGCAGTTCTCATCGATTCATACATTCTGCCCATCGCTCGGTATTAAGGCACACGTGCCAAGAGTCAGCACGTCGTAATCACGGTTAATCCTCTCGCTCTTCTGGCAAATTTGGTAATGCTGACCCCATTCCACTGCCACAAATATCAAGGGGCAGTCATCCAAAACCAACATCCTCCTCTGCAGCCTGAGAGAACAAATGTGGGGCCATACTCCGCAGCGTGCGCATTCAAAGGGAGAGTGTCTCCATCACTCCATCACGGCCACCCACACAACACAGCGCAACATTTGAAATCCACACAAAGACCCAGGATGGCATGCCCACAAAGGTGCATACTGTAACGAGCACAAATTGGATTGTCTTCTATAACACGTTTTCACTGCACATCCACCCACACAATGAATCTAAAATTAGAAGTAAATAAACGAAACAAAACACGTGATAAAACAACATTGCATTTCCTGCACCGTCTGTTACAGTGCATTTTAAGGATGATTGCGCATCACCGTGTACACAACTCTGTCATAAGTTCGTAGAAAAGATGTAGGCGTAGCTGGAAATAAGCACCTTCCTTGTGAGCAAGTCCGTGTGTGTTTACATACAAAGTAATGTGCGTGTATCAGAAGTTGTCATGTAATGTAATGTAAGGGTGTGTTGCTGTAAGCGTGTGTTTATGCAACGTGTCCTTACATCCGGCGTCGACAATATAATTTTCTGCATTTTAAAATGTGTGGGAAGCAAATGGAACAACTGCACCAGTGTATATTTAACGACCAAGTTTATGTTCATATTTTGAAGGCAGAATTACAAGATGTTACTTTGTGGTAGCTTGGTGTGATACGAAGAAGAGTGAACAGGTGTTTGGAGGCTATAGCTCGAGAAATTTCGCTTGTTATAAATGACGATGAAAAGGATAGTGTCATATGTGAGACATCACATCCTCCGAGGGTCAGTTGGGAGACGTGACAAAAATGATTCTGCAGCCAAAAAAAATGCAAGCGGGGAATGAGAAGGGAAGGGATCATCCTGTGGGACAATGCAGGCAATGATATGGGATTTATCACGAGACACAGAAGATCACAGAGGCAGAGGTCATCTGTCACTGGGCATCAAGCCGCAGGTATAAGGCTGCCACGAAACGTATTTTTTTTTGCACAAAAAACCAGAATGACACAGCATCATTCATGTTTGGCGTTTAATGCAATTCTCGTTGAATAATTGTGCTATATTAGAAGCACCCGGAGTTAGTAGTCAGAACACAAATTTAATTAAGCCATTCAGAAAAAAAGAACTACTACCAGCCCCATTAAACGCGTCGCTATTTTCCACGACAATGTCATTGCTTGATGTTTTTTTTCACTCTCTCTCTTCTCTCTGGCTGTTTGTTTGGCTCTTGGGAACACTTACCATTGCAATCAACCTGTCAACGGTCTGAAATGCAATTCACGGCGCTTCTCTCGAAACAACAAAAAAATTCCAGTCGAACAAAATCAAGGGGGAATGTATGTACCTGTGGATTTTTTTTTCTGCCCCCCCAATCTCCGAACGACTTGTGCCAAACAACTCGTGCGGCGTTGCGCGTGAGCGAATTACACTGCGGACTAAAGAGCCCTTAATCAATTTGGGATCGCGGAGAGCTTGAGCGATTACAAGAGCGTAGTGTGGGACAAACCCAATATACCTACCCACCGACTCCATCATCTGCATGGAACGGCGTATATAAAAAGCGCACGAAGCTCTGCAAGAAGCTGTAAATCGTTTTGCGGGCGAAAGGCACGCGAGGCTTGCAACAACAATGCAATCTTAATCCGTCACGGCGGCGACCGCAAGACTCACGAAATTGCAAACAGAGTGATGATTAAAAGACGACGGGGAGATTGAGACTCGTGTTGGGAGAGGTCACTCTTCTGTCTGCCTTTGTAACGTCAATGCGTTTTCTTGTTGGGTTTTTTTTTTCTGTTCGTCTCTTGCTTTTAGTGTTTTTCTTCTCCCAACCCAACACAGCAAGAGTTGCACAATTTTAGAATTTTAAAAAGCTTTCGTGTTTGGTGCATGCGTGTGTGTGTGTGTTTCTTTGCGTGTGCGTGCTCACTGTGATGCGGTTAAAAGAGAGCTGCGTGTCTGTGCGTGTGTGCTCTGGGTCTGGGTACAAGGCGGCTATCTCCCTCTAGCCTTTGATCATACATTATTTAAAGCAACCGGCCTCGTTGTGCTGACAATATCCATTCGTTTTATTTTACTCTCGCCGTATAATTTCTCATGGCCATGGGAAATTCAAGGAAGAATAAGGGAGCATCTTGCCCCCCAAAGTCAATTGCGCACGTCATTTGTTATTGGGGTGGCTGGGGGGGGGCAGGAGCCCCCATTGAGCTGACGATATTCAAGAAGGCGACAGGTCAACCCTTCTTACGCGGACGCCGCTAATTGATTTAAGCGATTGATAATCAGCGCCGAATGCCCGAGAGACATGACTCAAACGCTGGCACACAAACACACACAAAAAGGCAAAGATCCCGCCGTATAGCCTTGATAGATCTTTGAGACAAGCGCTGTTGTTATCGAGCACATATGAAAGCCGACACAGCGCACGAGGGGGTGAGTGACCAACACCACGCCTGGCCGCCTTTGTCTCCCCAGTAGCGATATTTACAGACCGCACCAAGTACTCATTTGATGCTAAGTCGACTCAGAGGAGGCCCAGGACCGGTTCAGACAATCGTCGCCGGTGTTGGCCGTGCACGGGAATCGAACCCGAGCCCCGCCGTGTTCGTCGCGCGGCGCGCTAATCGCTGCGCCACCGCTCCCATGCGCGGCGCACGTACACTCGGGCAAAAGAAATGCAAGGAGGAAATTGTGTCTCATGCTGTGAGGAAGTGAAAGGTCACGGTCTTGACTGACTGCGTGGCCCTCCCTCCCTCCACCACCACGAGCAAGAACAAGTTGTCTCGATGTTGTTCTCGAGACCGGTCGCGTGATTCAAATCTCCTATTACTATCAGCAACGTGGTGACAGCCTGCGTGGCAAGGTAAGTGATTTCACTCCCGTCCGTGTGTGATCTCCTGACGCAGCAAACGGCGTGCGGCGCGCGCACGCCCACGATGGAATAGAATGAAAGGTGAACAAACGAGTGTGCTGCATTCACTTCACAATGTCTCCGCGACACTGCGTTGTCAGTCGACAGAGGCACGGCTGGCACAAACTCAACACATTCCTCGGTAACACTTTGGCCCTAAAAGAAAAACAAACATACGCGTAATAGGCAACGTTTTAGGCAATTGCCCTTCTCGATCTGTTTGCCATGAGGAAGGGCCATTGCTCGAAACGTCGCCTGATATCTATGTACAGTCTTTTTTTCGCGGGGGGAGGAGGGGGCGTAGTTTCGGGCAATGGCTCTTCACCTATCTGCTGTGAAGTAGGGTCATTACCCGAAACGTCGTATACTACATATCGTTTTTAATTTTAGGGCAGCGTATCTGACGAATGTGATGAGTTTATGTCTTTACCATTGCCGTACGTATTGGGCCGTCACCCGAGATTGCAACAAGCCTACGAGTTTAAGAATCGGTCTGTCGTTCTTGAAAGCTGCTTAACGCTTCACGAAGATCCGGTGGTGCCAATGCCACGGGCGTGCGCGCTCAATGTTTGTACTTATTGATGAAACACAATTGTACAAACAACGCTTCGCGATGTTATTTTTGTTGTTGTCCTGTGCTCACCAAAGCGCCTGTCTGCACGTAACACAGCGGCATGCGATTACCGACGAAGAAGAATGAACATTGGCCAACAAAACTAAATCGCATCACACGCGCTCGCGTTTTTTTTTCTCCCCAGCCCCTGTCGTAATCTGTTACAGATATCGTTAAAGACTAGGGTGGTCAACCCCCAGTCACACGTGCTGCAAAATACACACACAGCAATAAAGTTCGAGTTATCATGCATAACCCACGATGGTTAATTCAACACGTGTATTGATGGGTGCGCGCTCTCAAACTAAGTACCTTGCGTACGATACACCGAAACTACTGCGAGTATCAGTCCGCAAATGTACAAACGATTATGACAGCGATGATGAGATGATGATGGTGGTGGTGGTGGTGGACTCACTCAAGCGGGTATAGTCCGTGGCTGTGCCAGGGGACCGGTGCCAGGCAGGAGTAGGACGGTATAGCAGCAGCAGCGGCAGCGAGACTGGAGTCAATGAAGCACTCAGGGCCACGCGCGCTATGCGGGAGCGAGCGCACAATGCGTGGTGGCTCCCTCCGAGCGCACAGAGGGGAGGGACGGGGGAGGGAGAGATGGAGGAAGGGAGGGAGAGAGAGAGGGGGGAGACACGGGCGGAGAAGAGGGAGGGGAAGCGCAGGAGGAGCAAAAATACAGGATCACACGAGAGAGAAATAGAGAGCGAGTGTGTGTGTGTGAGCGCCGGGGTGGCTTGGGCTGCGGCCAGCCAGGAGGAGTGGCACTCGAGCTCCACGACACGTCGTGACTTGCAAATATATCGCGCGGCACAGACCAAGCGGGGCAAGTGTGTGTGTGCCCTGCTCGACAGCGCACAAGCGACGCCTTGTGCCGCCAGCGACGTTCGGAATCAGAATCTTTATTTAGACCGGAGGAATCCGATGAGCTATGAAGCTTTTTTTTTTTTTCACAGATGTCCATTAGGGGGGCCGGGTGAGAAAGGTGTGCGCTGATCTGAAGCCGGGGGGTTTCGCTTCCCTTCTCCCTGCTGTTGCTGCTCCGGCTTGCCGTCGAACGCGAGCTTCGGATTCCCGCTGAACACACGTACATATACATACGTACAGTACTTGCACGCGTTATCTATAATAGCCACGCACGTGCATTGCACACGCGCCAGCGAGCACGTGTGCGATAGGAATCACCGTGCATATTCACGCACGCACACGCGACTCAAACATATACACACAGCTTGACAGGTCTCTATAATAGTAGCCTCGTGTGAGCATTCAACATGTGCTTTTTAATCATTCAGGTTGATTACATATCTCTAAAGTAAACTATTTTAAATTGACCACCAAAATATTGAGTAAGTTTTCAGAGGCGACCTGGCCAAACATGATCAGAGCTCATCAAAGTGGCTTATCATGCGGGGAATTATAGTAGCAGCCAAACAATCTACTTAATGTGGACGGTAACACTGGAGGCCC